GCAGGGAGTTGTGCAGTGGAATAAATTAACATATTCTGTTTAATTTAAGTACTGCTACCACAATAAGCATTATTATTATTTTTTTGATAAAATTTATTCTTGGTTTGGCTCCTGAATTTTTCTTGGTAAAAAAAAAAAGATATACACATTAACAATTAAATTGCTATTGTTCTCATGAATCTCTTTCAGATTTCCAGGTTTGTCCTTTATTTTTATCCAAGAAAGTGTGTTTACTGTGTTCCTCCTTTCCAGACTGGAAACACAACTGGATGGGTTATCTTTACTTTATTGCAAGGCTTGTCAGAATAGAATAGAATAGAATAGAATAGAATAGAATAGAATAGAATTATTTGTTGGCCAAGTGTGATTGGACACACAAGGAATTTGTCTTTGATGCATATGCAAAATCAGAGCCACACATTAATTTCCAATTAAACTGATTTATTGCTCATTCCTATGCACAAGAATCTAGTCAACTGACAGTACTATTTTGGCTCTAGATAAGGGTTAGTAGAGGAGTTGGACTTTGATCACTTGTGGGACCGTAAAGATTCCAGGCTGATCCCCCTCTTGATGCTGTTCCCAGGTTCTGCCACTCCTTTGTCAGATTTCCAAATAATATGCCTATAACAAATAGAACTCTGAGGCAGGTAGATTCCTCATAGAATAGTTTTATTCGGACATATCATATTGGCACAGGCTGGTGAAAACCGACACTGTTCCCATGGTTTTCATCTAATTAAAAGTAAAAGTTTTCTCCCTTTCCCAAACAATCAGTCACATGGTCCAATCAAGGTGCTGACCGGTTGCCTGGTAACTTCACTCCTCCTCTCTCTGACCAACTGTGGGAATGTCCTTGGTTCCCAGGAGAAAGTATTTTGTTTTGGCTGCAAAACTCCAGCTATCTCTATTCCCCCCACCCCCATCCCTCAGCTCCAATGCGGCACCACTGAAGCCTCCAAGATGGCCTCAGTCAGGTCAGCCTCAGGGTTGAAACTCCTCTACACGATACATCAACAGAATCCTGCAAATCTGAAGTCACAAACTTCCCATCTCCACTTTTAGCTGCTTGATCCATGAGGGCAGATCCTTCCTAAATATCTTTCTCTGACTATTAAAGAGACTGTGGGGGCTCCTTACCTTGCTTATCTGATGGTTTCCTAGGCAGCATTCCTCTTCCCTTCAAGGTTATCCATGCATTCTATTACACTGCCGGCTATTGTACAGCAATGCAAAACGCTGGGCTGGAGCATCCTTCTGGCTTTTTAATTTTATGGCAAACAGCCTTTGCAGAATTGTGAAGCTTCAGACCAGGAGGCGTTTGCATCCATTTTCTTTCGGCTTAGCAATTCTGGAGAAATTGTTTGTGCAAATCGCTTCTTCCTCTCTGCTTCCTATTTATTCAGGAGACTGCCCTGGGAATATTTAGAGAAGGAACAAACCACTCACTTGGGAATTAGCAGTAATGGATTGTAACCTTTGTCACATGTCGATGTATTTGAAATAATGCAGAATTAATATTGAAAATATTGAACTCATCACAGCTTTCAAGCGCTGAGTTAAGTTGCAGAAGAAACGATACACAAGGTTTTTTTGTCTGCGTGCCTTTTTTAAAAAAAGACTCCCTCATCCTCTATTAATTCTGAATATTTTATTCTCCAGAATTGTGTGTAGTCCCCCAGAGTAGTTCACCACCTTTTTTTAACAAGACAAAAAAGAAAACATTTAAATGTATGTGGAATCATTGTATAAATTCCAATTATTTCACTTTGGTTTAATTGTATTTAAATCAAATATATTTATTTATATGTTAGATTTACGCCCTGCCCAATAAGTACCTATTTTACCTCATGACACTAATGATGATAATTACATAAATAACTGGACAGCAGTAAAGTCTACATATTGTAAAGTTGGATTAACAGAATCTTGCAAGTCTGAAGTATATCTCTTCTCCGCCCCCCCAACTCAGCTTTACAGCTCAAGAAACTATAGCAGGGGTCGGCAATCTTAAACACTCAAAGAGCCATTTGGACCATTTTCCACAGGAAAGAAAACACCGGGAGCCACAAAACCCTTCCCGTGCCTGACTATTTCCTAAGCAGCCACAAAACTAGTATATGTAGTTGAATTACACATCCTGTTTTCTTCTGAAACTTTTCTTCGATTTATACATGATTGGCCTACTGGGGGTTGAAAACCTCAATAAATATTGTGCTAGCAGGTGTTGCACATTGATGGTTGTGATGCATATTTTGAGTAATGGGGAGCCACAGCAGAGGGATGAGAGAGCCACATGTGGCTCCAGAGCCGTGGGTTGCTGACCCCTGAACTAGAGAGAGTCGTTTCTGAGATGTTAGCCAGCCTCCATTTCTCCTGCAGGCTCAGGTGCCTCTTATCCAACTGTTCTTGTGGCTCTGGCTTTTTTCCATTCCTCTCAAGATCATTCACCTGTACCATTACATAAATCATCTTTTTTTTCTGGATTTTACATTTCGTAGGCAGAGAAGGAAAATAAAAATGGCTGGGCGTTGGAAGAAAGAAGAAATAGCCTTCTTTTTCAGTTCCAAGCAGGGAGAAAGGCACTGGAGACAAAATGAAGGCTAATTGGAAAGAGGGTCTATTTATTGATGAAGCAGAAGCACATGGATTTGTGGTTCTGGGCAGTTGACAACATAGAATTGAGTGTGTGTGTATTTATACTTTTTCTTGAGCTTTGCACTTGAACTTCCTATTCCTGTGTAAGAACATGTATTCTATTAACTGTTGTCAGAGTCCCATGGAGCCATGTAAAAATCCTAGGAGTTTGTCTGAGCTAAGTTTGGTTGAAGTTTGGGCTGATTCAATGAAGACTTGTGTTGGGCAATTCCTATTGTGGCTGAGGGCTAATTTGTTGGCCCATGGGTGAGGGTATTTGCTTATGAAAGAGCTAGCTATCTCTTTATCTCTTAAGTGCTGACATCTGCTGAGAGTTATTAAGAAAAGTGTGGGCTGTTTTCCAAAAGCATGTTTCTCCATTTTTCATCCAGGGAAATAACATATTCTACCTATTTGTTATTTTGTAAAGTATTTCATTCTTTCATTCTTCTAGGAATGGGGTGGGCGCTAACTTTCTACACTTTGTTCTGGAAATGTGTTTACATATCAGGAGTTAAATGTGTTTGCAGATCAGGTACACATGTAAACCTCCAATTAAATTGATTTATTGCTAATCATACTTATGTGCAGTATTCTTCTCAATGAATGGTTAGAAAATGCTTGGAATTAGATAAGGCTCAATAGAATTCAATGGGGTTTAGACTTAGTTTGCTTGTGGCTACATAGGGATTCTAGGCTGATTCATCTTTTAACTCCACCCTCAAGTTCTGCCACTTCTCCTATACTGCATCACTTATTTAAAAGATAAACTAAGGTGGTAGGAACAACCTCACTATTCATTCTGGAAGGTATACGTGTGTATGTGGGAGTGGAACATTATGACTATTCATATCCAGTATAGCAACTGCATCTTCTTTGGTTAACAACGCCTTTATATCAGGAATTTAATTATGTCACTATCGCCTATAGCTACCTACACATTTTAAAAGCACAACAGTGTTCAATCTTTCCACTAGTTATTGGTTTTGGTAAAAATCACTTTGCTATTACCTTGCCTGGATGTTTATCGAAACAATATTAGCCCTTCTTCTGGGTTGCTACCCAGAATCCAGCGATGGGTGACCATATAAATTGCATAACTAAAGTGCAATAAAATAAATAAGCCTGAATTTGAGCTATGAACAGGGGTGAACAGGGTATCAAACTCGATTTCATTGAGGGCTGCATCAAGGTTATGTTTGACCCTTGGAGGGGGGCAGAGTGGGCGTGGCCAGGAGGGGCATTACCAATTTGATGTAACTTGTGTTGGGGGTACCTGTCGTGGCCAGAGCACTCTGCCAGTGAAAACAGGCTCCCAAGTTCTGTTTTCGGCTGTGACAGCCTCCTGCAACCCTCTGCCAGCAAAAGCCGGAGCTCAGGACTGCCACATGTGGCCCACCCGAGCTCTGTTTTTACTGGCAGATGCACCATGAGACAATTCTTTGCTGTTTCCAGGGCAGGCCAGCAGGCCAGATCTAAACACTTCAGCCTTGAGTTTGACACTCCTGGTCTAGAATATAAGGTGGAAGAAATTTATATCATAGTTAAGCACCTGCCAAAGCTTCTTCAATGCAACTTATACCCAATTGGCTCCTATTCACTAAGGAAATGTAGTTATGGATGTACCAATATCTGCACAAAAGAGGGTTGCACCTGGAAAGTTAAAAATAATGAGAATAAATTTCATAAACCTACACTCTCAGCCTGGTGAGAAAATGACTCTTCTCCTTTTTACATTTCTCCATTCTTAATGGTAGATTCCAAGATTCTCCTCTGCGTGACTCCTCTAGGGCCATTTTCGCATATTATATTAAACCATGGATTATTTAATTAGGAATTGTCGTATTTGTTATTATTGGGTCCTTGGATAGATCTGTGCAAAATAAATTGTGATTTGTCTATCAGAATAATTAATTTTGTGCTCCCACACTAGGTAGAACCCATCTTCTGTGCAGGAGAAGCACTAGATTTTAATGATGCAAAATTCAGGAAGGATGCGTCTCTTTTCATTTTTACTTTACTTTTATTTTTTCTCACAAAGCCCTTGTCCTTTGAATTGCAAGCATCCCCACTAAATGCTGAATAAAATTCATCATCCAGCATTGGCTGAGCTCCAAATGAAAATGAGGAAACTAATTACACATTTAGTTTAAGGTGAAATTAGCATACTTAGAATTTCAATTTCTTATAAACAGAGGCATGGGATAATTGACTTCTTCAAAGCTTTCTACTATCTTATTCTGGGTGGGTAATGAAGGTGGGCATAAATTATTAAGCTGAAAATCTCTCTGTGTGTCTCTTTCTCTCTGTCTCTGTCTCTCTGTCTCTCTCTTTCTTTCTTTCTTTCGTTCTTTCTTTAACAGCAGTACATTTATGTGGTCTGACTTGGCACTTGCAACCAGTTGACGGGCAGCTTTATGAAAATGGACTCAGTAAAGGAAACGGACTCACAGAATCTGTGGATACAACATACGCTCCCATTGGAGGCAAAGTGTCGGATAAAACAGAAAGGAAAGGTATCTCTTTTTCTTATCTTTTTTCATCAAGTGTATAAAATCATCATGGAAGATGCACTGACATCACAGGGAAGGCCAGAATTGATGTGCATGTTGCCCAAGTTAATATTATTGACTTATTTACTAGATGTTTATCCCACATTTATTACTTTGAAATGTATTTGACTATTACTTTGTAGGTAATTGTAGGTGATTGGCCCAAAGTCATCCAGTCAGCTTTCATACCTAAGTGTTCTGACCTAGGCTTCCCCAGCAGCACAAAGCTGAGTCCCGATAAACCCCTTTTATTTAATTTACAGTGAAGTCCTCTCCAGCAGTCTTTCCTCTCACACAGTCTTTCAAGGTAGTTCACAAATACTGACCCTTATCAGGCTTGGAGAGCCAATATTGTGTTTTCCTGTATTTTGGCCAATATCTTTCAGACGCCACAATATAGGAATGAACTAATTGTCTCCTGCAAACACCCCTCCCTTTTCACTCCTCTTTTATTTCCTCTGGGAGGGGCCATTCATTGTCCACTGTGGCCTTACTCCCAAGTCGACCCTTGTTCCTTAGCTGTTCTCTTCGTCTGGCAACTCTGCACATGCGCACACTGGGAACAGGCTCTAGCTGTTCGTCTGCCTCACTGATGTCTGACTCCGAAGGCAGCTGATAGCTGTCACATGGCCCTGGCCCCCTCTCTGCCTCTGACACAGAGCCCTCATCAGAGCCTTCCCAGGACTCCAGGACTGGCCCATGTTCCTTCCCAACCTCCTCACTGTCTGAATTTGCTGCCAGCTCCACTGACCACTGGTGGGCCTCAACACTAGCTTGGGACTTGAATGTGATTGACTCAAAGCCATCTAGTCAGCTTTTTTGTCTAAAGCAGGACTAGAACTCAATGTGTCCCAGTTTCTGGGCTAGTGTCCTAACCACTAGGCTAACCTGACTCTCCTATTGTATTGTTATATTGTAAGGGTAGATCCATGTTAGTCTATTTTAACCAAAAATCAGGAACCTGGATGAGCCTAACACATTTTACTAAAAGATGTAAGCTTTTCTGAGCTACAGCTCCCTTCATCAGATGCAAGATGTCTCAGAAGAATGGCTTCAAAAAGTCCCCACTAAATTCCTTCTAACACATGGTTTAACAGTTTCTCATTTCGGCATGGTGGTAAGAATGCTATGGCTGTCATCCTAAGGATTTTTGCATTAAAAAGGCTAGAAGCAGATCGGAACAAGATGTACACTCACGTTAAGTGGCTTAAAACACACAACAATACAGATTAAATCAATGAGGCAAATGTAGAATAGGAGAAATGGGGGTAAGGCAACGTACATGAGAACGCTACTGGTGCTTGATTCATATTTGACTTAAGCACATTTGGATTGAATCTCCTAACTCAGGGGTGTCAAACTCAATTTCATCGAGGGCCACATCAGGGTTGTGTTTGACCTTGGGGGACCAGGATTGGGGTGGCCAGGGTGGACATGGCCACCTTGACATCACTTCAGTCAGGGGCACCTGTGGGGACCTGAGTGTTTTGCCAGCAAAAACAGGCTCCCAAGCTCCATTTTCAACTGCCACATCCTCCTGCAACCCTCTGCAGGAGAACGTGGCAGCCGAAAACGGAGCTCGGGAGCCTGTTTTTTCTGGAGAAAGCACCGGAGGCGAGTCCTTCACTGGATTGTGTATTATAGATTTTAGTTGTTAGTGGCTACTTAAGGATGAACAGTGCATAACTACAGCACAGGTGGCCAGATTCTGCACAGCAGCACTGGGGATTCATCGCAAACAGGTGTCTTCTCTACCATAGCGATGTTATATAACAATTATGCTTAGTCACTTATCTAGGAAACAAATAAAACAATATAAATTTTAAAGATACAAGCAACATGGTTATAGTCATAAGTGGGAAGAGATAGGTACTAGGAAGGAAGAGAATAATAATAATAATAATAATAATACAGTCATAGTAAATTATTTGACAGTGTTGTGGGAATCAGTTATTTAGCAGAGTGATGGCATTCGGTCCTTGTGCCTAGTTGTTCTAGTGTGCAGTGCCCTATAGCGTTGTTTTTCCAGTACCATTGTAACTCCAAACAGTCACTAAATAAACTGTTGTAAGTCAAGGATTTTCTGTACATTTGCAGCTGACTGAGACTAGCTCATCAAAAATATTTTTGCCCTTCATTATAGCAGAGCAAAACTTGGAGTCAGTAAGGGATATTTCTGCCAAGAAGGAACCTTTCTATAATGGGATTGTGCCACGTTGAAATTATATCTCCCAGTATAATTTGGCATATGAATCCACACATGTTTATTCATTTCCCTGCAGGCTGGGTCCTTCCATTTTGGGAAAGTGACAAGGCAGATAGCATCCCATTTAAAAGCCATCCACCTGGACCGACATTACATTCGCTTTAAACATATGGCTTATATCTTTGACCTTAGAGTTCCTGCCCTGTACACAGACAGTATAATCAGTATGATAACGAGACTGTGTCAGTATCAGGAAAATGTTTTTAAACATCCTCTTGGCCTATTGGGCATTGGCTTATAAACAGTTCCAGACAATATCTGAAATGTCTTGTCATCTTCCAGGTTTTCTTATGACTTGAATTAAATTCTCTGAAGAGAAACACCGAAGTAATTTCAGACAGTGCTTGGGGGGAGGAGGGAATGTTTACGAGCTGGTACTCTTAAAAATAAGCAACAGTCTAAAACAATTCTCTTGGGCCTATAATTCAGCCACCTAAATGTATCTACACAGCTTAGGTGTGAGAACTAATCTTTGCTCTCTGGACATAAATACCATATTTTTTGGAGTATAAGATGCTCTGAAGTATAAGACGCACCTAGCTTTTGGGGAGGAAAAAAAAATCTGCCTCTGCCTCCCCGCAATTTGCCTCCTTGCAGCAAACAGCAAACAACCCATTTCAGCACAGCCTGATTAGCACAAGCAGCTGATTGTTGATTCCTGACAATCAGTTGTTTCAGGCTGCAGGGATTGCCATGGCCTATTGCACCTCCGCGCAACCCATTTTTGGCTTCCATATTCTGTTTTCAGCCTTCACACGCCCGGTTTTCGGCCTCTGCATGCCCAATTTTCCTCCCATTCCAGGTGGCAGGGATCAGAATGGGTGGAAAATGGGGTGCGTGGAGGCTGAAAACAGGGCATGTAGAAAAATAGGGACCACTTTTGGTGGGAAGGTAAAAGCCTTCCGTGCGCCTTCGACATTTAATCATGCCAACCACGACCATAATCATGGAGACATCTTCGGACAGCACTGGCTCTTCGGCTTTGAAACAGAGATGAGTACCGCCACTAGAGTTGGGAACATCCATGTGCATGGAAACTTTATCTTTAATTACTCCCAAAGAATTTTTAAAAATTGTTTCCAAAATGTATCTTCTTTCCCTGTTCATTTACAGTATTAATCAGTGAACACGTTCAGTCCCTTTCTCCACCTTTTTCTTTGCTTCTTTGCTTGTTTTTGCTTTATTTCAAAGGTGGCTACCCCAGGACCAAGCTGGGTCAAGAATGTGATGTGGAGGAATGGAAGTGTAAAGCTTAGAGATGTGTTGGTATGAGAAGCACTGTAGAAATGTGTTAAATATGTAAATAAGAAGGCATTTGTTGAGCCCAGTGAATTAATTAACACCTTTATAGTGCTAAAAGTCCTTTGTCCTTGTTTAATCTCTGTGGAGTAATGTCAGAACTCAAGGCTAGCTCAGCTGTGTTGTTGTGAAATGAAACTTTTGCCCAGGGAAGACTTTTCTGAAGCCAGTAATGAAATGTCCCTTTGCTAGATATAACATATTCATATCCATTGTTACTGTCAGTCTGTTGATCGGTTTGTGTGGGTGTGAATGTGTGGGTGAGTGGGTGGGGGGTGGGGGAGAGAAAGAGAGAGAGAAAGAAGCTGATTCATTTGTGTTGTACAGGATCCTATCTTTGGTGCCCTCTGAGCTTGGTTGTTTTCTTGCAGACGTTTCTTTACTCAAACTTTCTAGCACCAGACAGTTGAGGACCCAGATTGTTGGGGGCAATATGCTGACTCTCTGTAAACCGCTTAGAGAGGCCTGAAAGGCCTATGAAGCGGTATATAAGTCTACTGCTACTGCTATTGCTATTGCTATTCACTGGCAAAGTGCTCGGGCCACCACAGGCGTCCCCCTATACAAGTGATGTTGGTCACACCCACTCTGGCCACACTCATCCTGATCCCCCAAGGTCAAACACAACCCCGATGCGGCCCTCAATGAAATTGAGTTTGACACTCCTGTTGTAAGCCATCCAGAACCACAATTGTGAGATAGGCTTTTATATATGTTGAAGAAATAAACAAATTATAAATGAATAAACAAATTCAATTTTCAAGAGCACAGTACTGTATACAACATACTAAATCCTGAAGAGGGTTTTAAAAAGTGTTTCAGCTGTCATGAAAGCAACTGATTTCAGAAAAAGAACTTTACTCTTCTTCTGCTTTCTTCTAGGTGCAAAATAACACAACATCAGGACAAGCTGTCGCCATGGAGATTTTCCTCACTTTTCAATTGGTCCTTTGCATTTTTGCTTCCACTGATGATAATAGGACCGACAATCTGGGATCCCCAGCTTTGTCCATTGGTTTCTCTGTCGTCCTGGGTCACCTCATTGGGGTGCGTAACCAGATTGCTGTGCAAAATTAAGGATGTTAAATTGAAATGTAATAAGGTTGGGGTGGGGTGGGGGTGGATGATAATATTGTCAATAAAACCCAAATTTTGGAGTTGAAGGAGTGGCCCTTTTGGGGTGAAGTTTCTCATGGCTGAAAATCAGAGCAATTTTTTATGGCTCGCCC